TGAGGTATCTCAGTCACAAAGGGACAAATGCTATGTGGTGCCACTGTTGTAGAATGAGGCTGACATCAGGATGGGGCTAAGACTGAGAAAAACTGGATGAAATATGTTTACAGCATTGAAGTCTTTGGGGGAGAGAATATTTTATATTTTAGGGCATTATGTTTATTGTAAGAGTATGGAATGAGGGTTGCAGAGTGGATTATATTTGGGGGTTGAGGGATCTGTGTGGGGGATTGTGTACCAATGAGGGAGTTTTTCTTTTGCGTTTGAAGGAGAGGAGCAAACGGGGGTGGGGTGGGGGGGCGGGGAGAGGGGTGCAACAATGAATGAATGGAATTCCAAAATCTTTGTAGATGTTCATTGAAATGAAAAATAAATAAATTTTTAAAAAGTGATTCAGTAAAAGTTGGAAATGATCCAACAACATAATCAATATCACATGCAAGCAAAATATTACTGAAGAACATAAAGAAACAGTTAAAACAGTACATTGACAGAGAACTGTCAGAAGTTCAACTAGGGTTTAGAAGTGACTATGGCACCAGGGATATCATTGCTGATGTCAGATGGGTCTTGGCAGAAAAACATTCTTCTAAGAATATCAGAAGAACGTGTATTTGTGTTTTATTAACTATGCAAAGGTATTTGACGATGTGAATAATAAACTATAGCTTATACTGAGAAGAATGGGAATCTCAGAGCACTTAATTGAATTCATGTGAAACCCATACCTAGACCAAGAAGCTGTTTTCTGAACAGAGCAAGAAGACATTGCATAGTTTAAAAATCAAGAAAGGTTTGTGTCAGGGCTATATGCTTTTCCCATATCCTTTCAACTTATATGCTAAGCAACTCATTAGAGAAGCGGGATCCTATGACAGAGAATGTGGCATCAAGGTCAAAGGAAGACTCACCAACAACCCGCATTAGGCAGATGACACAATCTTGTTTGTTGAAACTGAAATAGTAGAAGGCTAGATTTGGAAACTTCTGGGCAGAGTTACCTTTCCAGTCATAGGCTGGGGAGTGGTCAAACCTTGGTCATTCCTTCCTCCAGGAAGAAACAGCCTCACACTTGGATGCTGTGATGAGCGTGGGTCTGTCAGGTAGGTAACATCATTAGGCATGTATCAACCTCTACAACTGCAGAATGCCCCTCAAACCATCAACCTTCCACTCAGACACTAGTGATTAACATGTCTGCACATAGGTGTTCCTTCACTGCCAGTGAAGGCTGATGGCAAGCCTGGAAGCATGACCCTGCTCACAGGCAGGAGGGTAGGAGTCTGCCTTTCCCCCGTTTCCAGTCCCAGTGAGTTAACTGTGGCTTGCCAGAAGTAGACAATCAAGTCACTGGAGCTTCACCGACATCCCTGCTTTGGGAACTCAGCAAAGAGTAATTTTCTTTACTCTCCATAGCTATTTTTTACTTTAGAACTGTTTTCATTTTAGAACCAAGTACTATACAAAGGCATTTGACTGTGTGGATCACAACAAATTGTGGTTAACCTTGAGGAGAAAGGTAATCCAAGAATACTTTGATTGTGCTTATGCAAAACCTATACTTGGACCAGGAAGCAGTCCTCAGAACAGAGCAGGGAAACAATGCATGGTTCAAAATCAGGAAGGGAGTGCATCAGGGATGTGTCCTGACACCATGCCTTTTCAATCTATATGAAGAACAGATCATTTATGAGGCTGGGCTTTATGAGGAGGAATATGGCATCAGGATTGGAGGAAGACTCAACAACATATGTTATGTAGATGACACAACCTTGTTTGCTGAAACGGAGGCAGACCTGATGTGCTTGCTGCAGAAGGTCAAGTACTCTAGTCTTCAATATAGATTGAAAATCAACATCAAGAAAAGAAAAATTCTCACCACTGGGCCAATTGGCAGCACCATGGTGGATGGAGAAGAGACTGAGGTTATTAACAATTTCAGCTTGCTCCACAATCAACACTCTTGGCATCAGCAGTCAGGAAATCAAAAGACAAACTGCATTAGGTAAACCTACAGTCAGGGACCTTTACAGAGTACTGAAAAGCAATGATGTCAGTCTAGGGACTAAGGTGCGCCTGATCCAGTCCATGGTCTTCACAATTATTTGCTATGCATCAGAGAGCTGGATAAATGACTAAGGATAATAGAAGAAGAATTGATGCCTTTGAGTTGTGCTGGAGAAGAGTCTCGAATATACCAAGGACCACAAATAGAAAACAAATAGGTCTGTCTTGGAGAAAGTGAAACCAAATTTCTCCTTGGATGCTAGGATTTTGAAGCTCCATCTTACATACTTTGGCCATGTGGCCAGGAGGGACCAATCCTTTGAGAGGAACATCCTGCTTGAGAGGGAGGAGGGACAATGCAGGAGAAGACGACCCCAGATGAGATGGATTGATAAAATGACTAGGGAAATAGGAGTAGGTGTGTCAGAGTCAGTGAGACTGACTTAGGACAGGGTAGGCGTCAGAGCTATTGTACATAGGGTCACTGTGAGCTGGAGGCTACTCAACAGCATATAACAACAAGATTCAAAGACCCTCTACATTCTTAAGAGACATGGTACTCTGAACAGAATTCTTTAGAGACTTGAATCTTCCAATAAAAAGAGCCCCTAAAACTCACTGCTGTGGAGGCAGAAGTGACTAATAGCTGACCAGCCAGAAGGCTGTTAGAGGCTGTAAATGACATGGGAGTAGTCTGCCCATCTTTTTCCAATGGAGTTTCTGGTCAACCCAAACTGTCAAAGAGGCACTGCCTTTGGGTCAGCAGCACAAGTCCTTGTGGGCTATGTCTCAGAGCTGCCTCTGGCCAGGATAAAAAGAATAAGAAAGGAATTTGGGATTCCATATATTCAATTCTTTTCTTCTTCCTGCCACTATCTATCCCATCCAACCATGGATTCATATTATATCCAGGGCTAAAAACCAATTCTATATGAAAATTATGCTTGCATATATAATTATATACTTCTTGGAACAGTATAATACTTAAAAGGTAAAAGCTGAATTTGGTATACTTTGTCATTTTTGCCTTTTTCTGATTTTTTTTTTAAATTAGTGTTTTGGATTTTTGAATATATTTCGTGGAATACTTGTTCTGAATTTTCACTTCATATCTTAAAATAACCTTAAAATTCAAAAAGAAGAAAATTTATTTCCAAAAATATAAGATTGAATATAAGTGGCTCCAATCTTTTTTTACAGTTTGTTCCCAATAATTTGGGGGTGAGGTAGGAGAGTGTGAGTTTTCTAGCCTATGTGGAAACCAACATTATTTGAAAGCAAAACAGCTCTGGTTAACATGTCTGATTTTTAGGGAATGTTGGTTTCTACCAAATTTGAGATTTCTGCCTACAAAGTGAGCCTGACTTCATCATATAGCATTTTATTGGATCCTACATGCCTGCCAGTCAGGACCATCTACTTTCCCCAACAATATTTTTTTAAATGTGTGAAATTTCCTACCTCAGAGAGATCTTTAGCAGTACTTGGCATCTTAAAAGAATAAGTGTGCTTCAAGCAAGAAACAGAAACATCAAGAGAGGTGATTAGAAAAGTGAAGCACCCCAGAAACATTAGCAAAGTTCAACAAATCAGCAAATAACAAATGCCAGTGAGGCTGTGGAGCACCTGGAACCCTTATTCACTGCTGAAGTGTAAAATGGTGCAACCCCTATGGAAGGTGGTCAGTTTTCAGAAGCTAGGAACTGCAGAAGGAGACTGCTTGGCTTTCTCCCACTGGGCTGCTGTGGATTTGAACCCCTGAGGCTCAGCTATTGGGTTAGCAGCACAACTCCCTACAGATGATGCCACCAGAGATCCCTCATCAAAGGACACTAGTGTCAATCCTCACCAGTGCACCCTGCTGTTGTCAGGTACCATCAAGCTGGCCTCAACTCACAGGGACTCAGTGTTCAACCAAGCCCTGCCTGATACACAAAGCCAGCACCTCTCTAGAAAATGCATTTTTCCTCCCCAGCAAGCAGAACGTCGTTTGTTGAATATCTTCAGTTCTTTGCCCACTGAAATACAAAAACAGAGAAATCTACCTTTCAGCATGGTCCCAAATGGTGTGTGTGCCAACTGTCACAGTGTAAACCTGCTAGGGTACCACGGTAGAGAAGGCCTGGTGGTTTGCTTCCCAAAAGACCACAGCTAAGAAAACCCAGAAGAGCAGTTCTACTCTATGCAACACAGGGTTGCTGTGAGTTAGAATCAACATCCCCCTGCTCTGGACAAACACAGACCCTCTGCCACAGGAAACGGGCTGCTGACTGGAGCTGGGTGCACAGCACTCACCTGTTGCATGGTGGGAGAATGTAAGGCCGGCTGGACCTGCATGGGCAGCTGGCTCCCGAGTGGCTGCTGCATGCTGAGCGGCTGGTGTTGCTGCATGTTGAGATGCTGGTGGAGAGGCGGGCTGATCTGGAGGGGCGGAGGGGGGGACACAGCCATGTTCGCTATGGACACAGTCACTGGCATTTGGTTATTCGGCTTGGGTGCTATGTTCCTGGGGAGACTTGGATGCATGGCAGTTAGGTGAGGATTCATTCCTGGTTGTTGGTGGTAGTGGGAACTTAGGTACAGCGTTGAGTGGGCTTGGCTGGGCCCGTGGAATATGGATGGCTTCGAGTTGATCAGCTGAGGAGGTTGAGATGCCTTAACGTCAACAGGCTCACTGTAGCTCTGCAGAGAAAACACACAGGAGCAGGGCTCAGTGGCTGATGTAATGCTCGGAGCATGGATTTCTCAAAGTGGGAAGCTTTGTGAGTTTACTCATGGATTTTCACATGAACCAGCACCCACTACTCACCACTACTGTTTCACCCTCTCTAACAATGCCTCTGCTATTATTTATAACACCGTTTACAGCCTTGATCTTATTCTGATCCTAGGGAGCTCTGTTGGCCTGGTCTGCATGGAGTTGCACTACTAACTCAAGGGTGGTGCTTCTCTGACAGTTTAAATCCACCAGCGGCTCTGTAGGAGAAAGATAGGCACTCTCCTCCTGCATGATTTACAGCCTCAGGAACCCAATGGAGGCTCAGCTGGGAGTTGATTCCAACTCAATGGCAATGAGTTTGAGAGACAGTGCAGGAGGAGGCCCTCTATTAGGTGGATTGATTCAGTGACTGGGGTAATCGGGATGGGTGTATCGGAGACAGTGCAATTGGCACAGGACAGAGCAGAGTTTAGGGCTGTTGTACATAGGGCCACTATTAGTCACAAGTGACTTGATGGCACATAACAACAACAACAACAACAACAACAACAACAACTCTCTTTAATGGATGAAGTCTAAAATAATCTTCTCTGGAGCTCTGGTGACCTAGTGGTGAGAAAGGAACTGCAATGCCAACCCAAAGGCATTTGGTTTGAATCCACCAGCTTCCCCTGTGGGAAAAAGATAGGCAATCTACTCCCCTGTTATTTACAGGCTCTGAAACCCTGCTGGAGGGTCAGCTATGATGTGGTTCAGACTTGACACATGACAACAACAATATCAGCAACATGGCCATCCCTGCCCTAAATTCTATTTTACTGATTTTGGTGGTGGTGGTGTGTGTGTGTGTGTGTGGTGGGGGGAAGTAAGGAGTGTGTGTGTCATCTAAATGAATTACTTTTTGTTGCATGGAAGAGAAGTAAAGAAGACCCTGCAAGGAAATACAACTGTGGCCGCGTTGTAAGAAGCTGGGCTACAATCCCGAAGGCAGGTGGGCTGAATCCACCAGTTGCTCCATGGAAGAAAGATGGGTAATCTCTTTGTATCTGCAGGAGAAAGATAGGCAATCTTCTCCTGTGTGATTAACTGCCTCTGAAAACCCTTGGAGGGTCAGCTATGAGTCAGATCCAACTAGACAACAAAATAGTAACAAATAAACGGCTCTTTGTTTATTACAAAGGAGAAGGAAAGGCTGCCCTGATAGGAAATACAAGTGTAGCGTATTATAATACAGAGTTCCTCTATTAAATATATTTATTTGTTTGTTTACTTTTTCTTTTCTTCTTCATAGTCTCAAAGAGCCCTGACCTGGATATTTTACAAAGAAAACAAAGCTGGAGGATGGAAATGGGATGGGAAGCAAAGACTCCTAAAAATACCTTGCTGGTGTCATAGAAAATTATAGTCACATCTTCAAAGTACTCACAAGACTCATCTTGATTTTAAAAAAGAAGCTGGTGATGAATTGTCCCCCAGAATGAACTGGATAAAAATAATCTCTTGTAGAAATTTTAGACTCCTTCATAAATTAATAGAATTTTGCTTCATTTTTCCACACTTTGACATGATCAATTTCTAATTACCTTTTAATTGAATTAAAAAGTAGACATTTTAATGGAGGTAGAAAATGGTCAAGAATCAACCTGGAAGAATTTCCTTTGGGCCATAAACTTTGTATTTTGGTGGCACAGAGGGGTTATATGCCAAGAGCAGAAGGGGAAGCCAGCTTACAAAAGAAAATGGTGCTTATAGACTTCTGGTGATGAAAGTCACTTTGTTCACCAGGGGTTTGAAGGTGCCAGGGTGCCCTGTTCTGATACCTATGTGTCCTGTTCTGTTTATAGGTTAGTCTCTGAGCTAAAGAAAAGCCAAGACTGGTTGGGTTAGCTATATTCCTTCCCTGGGTGACCTTATTATCCCAAATGCTCAACCCACAGACCACTGAGGCACGGTGCATTTCACACAGATATAAAACTCAAGGCTGCATTTTCACAAGTTAGCCTATAATATTGTTGGCAAGAAAACTCAGCCCAGTCCCTCCAATAATCTAAAAAAATTCAGTGAAAGGCACAATAAAAATGATGCTGCTTATGCGGGCTGACTCATGGGAGTGGAGACTGAATGGCAAATTCACAGCAACACAAACTCCATCCACAGAAAGGACACATCTGACAGATGTAGAACACTCCAAGCCAGGAAATCCTGGGTCCCACGAGACTGCAACTCTATGCAGAGCACAGACTAACTTTGACCCACAAATTCAAGCTCCTGTAGGGAGTTCTCTCATTATAAACTGTCTCTCAGTCAGTGAATAGACAACTAGACTCCCCGGATCCTGTCTTATATTGTTGTTGATTGCCATTGAGTCAAGTACGACTCATAGGGACCATGAAAAAAAAGGGCTGAAGCCTTTCTAAGGTCAAAAATGGTTCATAAAAAAAAAGGGAGATATTTTAGACCAGAAGGCTATACATAGAACCTGAGAGATTTTTAATTAAAAACCAAAACTAATCAGCAGGTTTTGTTTTTCACTTGTGTTTTAAATTCTTATTGTTGATAACCATAGTAGTGAACAATTCAAGGAAAAGGTCAAATGGGTTAACACGGGCTGTGTAAATACACCATTCTGATCAGAAAAAAAGCACTTTGGCTAACGCACCTAAAAATCATTCCATGTTCATCAAGGTTGTGTATCTATTGTGTCTCTGAGCTGAAGTCACCGGAAAAGTATTCATATTGTGTTTGTCTTCCTTCTGCCTCAGCTGTCTGCAGAGGGCTAATTCAGTTTACAGTCACAGAATACACAGGCTTCACCAAGCAAAAAAAATAATTGTACAGTAAACAAAAATAAGCTGTCATGAGGTAATTGGTTCTGATTTACAGATAGATAGGTGTGTCAGAGCAGAACTCTGTCCCACAGGACTTCCAGTGGCTATCTTTGTGGAATTAGATTGCCAGGCCTTTCTTCCGAGGCACCTCTGGGTGGGTCTGGGCCCCAACCTTTTTGTCAGCAATTGAATACCTTAAATGACTGCACTATCCAGGAGGATCTCATACAACAGATGGTTATGAAAACTCACATACCTTAGTGCTTCTTCACTTTTTACTTTATGTGATGTACTGTCAGGTTGGAACCAATCCATAGTTGACCCACCTGCAGGTTTTTTCAGAGGTGTATATCACAGGGGAGGAGACTGCCCATCTTTCTTCCATGGAACAGCTGGTGGGTTTGAACTATGTACCCTCGGGATGGCAGCATAATTCCTTACCACTAAATCACCAGAGTTCCTTTTACTTCATAGTTACCTATAATTTAAAACCATGAAATATATGTTGCTGTTGTTGTTGTTGTTGTTATATGCCATCGAGTTAGAACTAACTCATGCCTGACCCTCCAGCAGGTTTTTAGAAGCAGTGAATTGCACGGGAGACTGCTCATCTTTATCCCGTGGAGGAGTTTGTGGATTCAAACCATGTGCCTTTGTACTGGCATTGCAGCTCCTTACTACAGTTTAAAAAATGCTTTATTTTTATAGTAAATCATCAATCTAATTATGCTATTATCAGATAATATGGTTTTTAGAGGAGTAGATATATAAGGTGAGCTGGTATGTGTATATGTGTGCAAAGAAATACATGGGTACACATGAAATATGAAATATTCAGAAATAATCATATAATAACCCTGGGAATTAATAATGCACTGTAAAATCAAACAAATATATTTATTTGAATTAAATTAGTGCACACCCTTCCCAATTTTGAACCATGCAGTGTTTCTTGCTTACTCTGTTCTGATGACTGCCTTCTGGTCCAAGTATAGGTTTTGCATTAGCATGATCAACTGTTCTGGGATTCCCATTCTCCTCAGAGTCAGCAACAGTTTGTTGTGATCCACAAAGTCAAACGCCTTTGCATAATCAATGAAACACAGACATTCCTCTGGTACTCCCTGCTTTCAGCCAAGATCCATCTAACATTAGCTACAATATCCCTAGTTCACAACCCCTTCTAAACTGAATCTGCACTTCTGGCAGTTCTCTGTTGATGTGCTGTTCCAGTTGTTTTTGGATAATCTTCAGCAGAATCTTGCTTGCACCTGATATTAATGATATTGTTCGATAATTTCCATACTCTGTTGGGGTCACCTTTCTCTGGAATGGGAACAAATACAGATATCTTTCAGTCAGTTGGCCAAATGGTTGTCCTCCCATATTTCTTGACACAACTTGGTGAGCACATCTAGGGCAGCATCAACAAATGAAACAGTTGAAATACGTCAATTGGTATACCATCAATTCCTGAAGCCTTATTTTTTGCCAATTCTTTCAAAGCAGCTTGAACTTTTTTATCACCATAGGCTCTTGCTCATACGTTGTTTCATGAAATTCTTCTGTCTGCCAATTCCTTTCAGTACAAATACTCTGTATACTCTCTCCATTTTCTTTTAATCCTTCCTAAATCGCTTAATATTCTGCTCAAAGCATCCTTAAGTATCGCAACTTGAGGTTTGAATTTGTTCTTCAGTTCTTTGTGCTTAAGAGATGCTGAGTGAATTCGACCCTTTTGATTTTCTGACTCCAGCTCTTGCAGATTTCATTGTAATATTTTACTTTGTCTTCCAGCGCTGCTTTTTGAATTCTTTTGTTCAGCTCTTTAATATCTTGAATTCTTCCCTCTGCTTTGGCTTCTCAGCACTCTAGTGCAATATTCAGACTCTCCTGACATCTGTGTTGGTCTTTTCTTCCTCCTCTATCTTTGTAATGATCTTTTGCTCTCTTTCAGGAAGATATTCTTGATATCCTCCCACAACTCATCTGTTCTTCGCTCATTGGTGTTCAAGGCCTCAAACCTGTTCCTGAGATGGTTTTGAAATTTAGGTGGGATAGGCTCAAGGTCATATTTTGGTTCCCATGGATTTAATTTTCTTTAGCTTTAGCTTGACCTTGCATATGAGTAGTTG